TTCATGAGCCTGAAAAATTGGCATATAAACAAAATTTGAACGCGGAAAAAGGAGTAGATTACCTTAGCAATTTCCAGAAGTGATTTATGATCTGGAAGGCGCCTGAGAACAAGTGTGAGGATCTAAAAACGAAGTTCAAGTACGATATCTGAGAGAAACTTAACAAATTTCCTCTTTTCTCGACCTAGCATGATTGAAATTCAATTTTTCATCAAAGACGAACCTCTCTGGGCAAATCGAGGAATGTAACACTATTCTCATCGGCTGACGTTACAGTTTTCGGCTGTCGATCCGAAATCACATCAAGAAGTGAATTAGCGGTATGTTGATGGCGTGAGACCAGCTGTGGCGATCCACAAACATGACCCTCAAGGGCTTGTCCGAACTGAAATTCGACTCTGGTAAACAAGGAATCAAGTGAAATGGACTCTCGTATAGCATCCATTAAAGATATGAGGTCTACGAAAGTATAATTTGTTCACGAAAAGAATTTATTTGGAGGTAGCACAGAACCAAATAAGGAAAGAAACTATCACGAACTCCTATCTAATTTTCTCCAAAGGGCTGAAGAGGTCATTGCTCTGTTTTTCGGTTTTACACTGATATAATTTCAAACATCCCATCATGTTTAATAGCTAAATAGTCTACAAAATCCCCAAAATTATCCGGACCCCTGTTCTTCCCCCTATTTTTTCTGATCTCCTAGTCTCCACGTCTGCCTATTTATTAGGTCAACTTAGTCCGCAGCTCTTTTGATGAAAGCTAATTCAAAACAGATATTTTGAGCCTAAGAAAACAAATTTTCTACTTTTTATTCTATAAATTCTTTTGATCACTGGATATTGAACTAAAGCTGATCTGTTCCGGTTGTACTCAACAGGCTGCAGAAGTTTAGTCGCTTCTAGTACAGTGCAAACTTCAGAAAATTTTTACACTATGCTTTTCAGACATTTCTGCCTGCTGTTTGGCTAACACAAAACAAAAGCAGGAAAAATGAAAAACAAAAATTATTTAAGAGCTTGAAAATCAATAAACCATCAGATGAATAATTATTGAACAATGGTGGTCACAGAATTTCTCAAGAAGGGTGGAGGAGGGAGATATTCATTCCTTAGGAAAGGAAGTGGTACTAGCCTAAGGCAGATTTATAGTCTCATAAGTTATTTTCTAAAAAGATAAAAATCTTGAAATTTTA